AGGGATCCTGGAGGCTCCGGTCAGCACCGCTGACCAGGTCATTGACTGTCTGGTTGGCAGCTCTGCTCAGCGGGGCTGACAGGCTCCCTGCTAGCCTCCGCACCGCCGGCATGTCCCCGTCCTGCTCCTACATGGGTGGGCAGCCAGGGGGCTCCACATGCTGCCCCCTCCCCAAGCGCCGCCCCCACCGCTCCCATTGGCCAGGACCACAGCCAATGGGAGCTGCGGGGGCAGCACCTGAGGATGGGGCAGCGCACAGAGCCACTTGGCCGCATCTACGCATAAGAGCTGGAGGCGGACGTGCCGCTGCTTCTGGGAGCTGCTTGAGGGAAACGACACCTGGATCCTGCACCCCTGAGCCCTCTGCCTGCGCCCAACCCCCTGTCCCAGCCCTGAGTCCCCTCCCACCCTCCGAACCCCTCGATCCCAGTCCGGAGCACCTCCTGCACCCCAAAACCCTCATCCCCAGCCCTATCCCAGAGCCTGCACCCCCAGCTAGAGCCCTCACCCTCTCCTGCAGCCCAGCCCCTGCCCCAGCCAGGTGAATATGAGTGAGTGAGTGAGGGTGGGGAGAGCAAGCGACAGAGGGAGGGGACATAGAGTGAGCGGGGGGTGGGGCTTTGGAGAAGGGGTGGGGCAGGGGGTGGGGCAGTGGAGGAGGGCGGGGCAGGGGCGGGGCAAGGGTGTTAGGTTTGGGCCACCCTACATAGGGTTGCATCCGTGACCATCTTGGCTAATAGCCATGGATGGACCTAGCCACAGGTGCTGACACTGTGGGTGCGCCGGGGCTGGAGCACCCACGGAAAAAAAAAAGTGGGTGCTCAGCACCCATTGGCAGCCCTGCCGATCGGTGCCTCCCTCTCCCCCAGCGCCTCCCGCCTGCTGCAGAGCGGCTGTTCAGCGGCGTGCAGGAGGTGCTGGGGGTGGGAAAGGGCGGAACGGGGTAGGAAGAGGCAGGGTGGGGATTTGGGGGAAGGGGTGGAGTGGGGGTCGAGCAGCCCCAGGGACATGAGAAAGTTGGCACTTCTGGGATGTATCAATTTCTTTTCTGACCCCAGTTACTTTTCCCATCCTGCTAGGATCCCAAACCGAAATGTTTCTGAGGCTCAGAAAAACGAAGCTGACTAATTTCCCCTGATTTTCATGCTTCCCCTGAGCCTGGAAGCCGAAGCGCCAAACACTGTGAGAAATCGCTTCCGGTGGTATGTCTGATTCGATCGGTAATGGCACAAGCCAGCCCGTTCTCAGGGGCCTTTCAGCCTCCCTGGGCGGATCCCGCGGCACATTTGGGGGCATCGGGGACCCGGGGTCGGCAATTTGTCCCCTGATCTGTTTGTCGTCGCTGCTGATTTGCAGAGCAGCCGATAGCCTCAACATGCAACCCAACCACCTCTTTCAAATCCAACACCCCCTTCTCCTCCTGTTCTCCTCCTTGGCTGCAGTTACCTTTTGCTTTTCCCTGGAGTTCTTGAGAGAGGTCCCATCTCCCTATTTTTTCCAGCACCGTCTCAGCTGCTATGAGTGAGTGAGTTCGGTTGAACTTGCTTATCAATTTATCGACAATGGCTTCTATGGTGTCTAGCCACCCGAATACATTGGGTTCGTCATGGTATTCATCTCCTGCATGGACAAGCTTGTTCATGGGTGTCTTGCACAGCTCATATTTGAACTCTTCAAATTCAGCTGGGCTCAGTTTCTTGAGGGTAGTGATGAGGAGCTCTCGGACAAAAGTATTCGTGTTCTTTGGAGCCATGTTACTGAGTGGCCTGGGGAGAAAGAGGACAGAGGGGAAAAGAAACTGAGACCTTTGGTGTCCGTCATGACTTTACTGACATAAAATACAACTTTCTGCGCTGGAACACGTTCAAAGAGGACTTTCCAACTGTCCTTTTTTAACAGCAGCCGCCCAGGAGTTACACGGTCACAGCTGTTTCTAGGTCTGCTCGACACACAGTAATAACCCCCAGCTCTTCTCTAGAGCTTTTCACCAGGAGATCTCAAAGCGCCGTCCAAAGCGGGTCAGGCCCATCCCCTGCCCTTGCACAATAACAACGAGGAGTCACGTTGTTCTCCCCCCGCCGCTCGCTTGCTGAACTATTCGGAGGAAGCCGCCGCTTCCCATGTGCGTGTGGCGGGAGCAGCTCGGGGTCAAAATCCAACCGACGAGGCAGCTGCAAAAATGCCGGGCTGCTGGCGGGCACCGCAGTGACGTCTGCTCGGCCCAGCTCCGAAACACAGGCCTGGGCCCATCAATCCCGGCCTCCTTCCCTTCCCCTGGCTCTACCGCTCCACCTCGGCCCTCCCCTGCCCCCCACCTTCCCCTGTACCCCTCAGTCTGCCTCCTGCCCCCACA